TCCGGTAAGAAGAAACGCTTCTTTTATACCCTTTTTGGGTTCGTCGTGTCCACCAATCAGAGACGTTTTATTTGTCGCGTTTTACATTGTATACGTGACGCTGGGGCCCTCAAACAGTCAGGGCACGATGTACTACTGTGATCAAAAAGTAAGGTGAATTCGTTTATAAAATGTAAATTCTTTATTTATTCTTCCAAATTAATTTCATCCCCTTCAAAGTAATCCCCAAAGGCCTTCCGCAACATTTTCAACGTGTCCGCACAAGAATATTCGTTCCACAAACAAAATTTGATGCAAGTTCTTTGCTCAACAAAATCACTCATTGTAAAAATCGAAAAATTCACTTTTGGTTGTTTACAAATACACGTGTAACTCGGAGATAATTAAACCTTTTGACAAACAGACGCTTGGTAAATGTTATAGACAGTCCTACCAACCTAGGAAAAAAACAATTGCCTGCCTTCCTAATGTCCGGGAGTTTTAAATGACAATTTCACCTTACTTTTTGATCACAGTAGTATATCAAAAGGTACCGGCGATGATGTATCGCGGCATCTAATATATACAGTTTACGTCACCGTCGCTGCCCGCTGACGGAGCCGGCGAAATGTAAACCGATATCTTAACTGAAGATATCTTACTAAGTAAACTATAGATTAATTTTTGTTCGAGGCTAAAATTTCAACAATAAGCATATGAGACAAGTGGTGAAGCTCTGGACACAGTGATAAAACTCGCGTAAAAATGGCAGGAGCAACGAGAAAATGGTAAAAATATTGCGATACAAACTAAAACGGTTGTAAAGTCAAAACAATGTTCGAAAAGTTTCTGAAAACAATTTAAAATTAACGCGAACGTAGAATTTGGAGAAGCATCGACGAGAAGAGTGTGAAAAAAATATTCGCAAGATTTGCGGCGAAGTCATGGTACCGATGGAAGCTGGATGCGAAGAATGAAAATTGGTGGGAAAGTGATCGAACAGTTCGCGATAAAACTGTCTAGCCCGCCGATTCTGACTAAAATCTGTGAAAACATCGAAGCTTTCCTACTGTGCCATAAAGCAATCATGAAAATATACTTCATTGGTTTCCGCACGGCGACGTTGACACAGCCCGCGCGGCGGTCCCTTCGAAGAACATTTCGACAGTGACTGTGCAGCAATCGGTCGGGCGAGCTCTAACGGGCTCCGGGAATCCAGTTTCATAGGCTCCTCGGCTTCCTGGTCGTGGGTTCGTTTAAAGATGGCGGCCGCCGGTCGAACAGAAAAATCGTCGCCGGCGGCATCCCGATCTCGTTATTCTGCTTAAGGGAATAAAATATCGCGGGCCGTTTGAAGGAAAGCCTACAGAGGGACGGTGCCAAATGCAGACGCGGCGGTTTTTTCCCGGCGGGTGCCGTTCGCGGTGTTCCCCGGGCGATCCTCTTTTTTTCACGACAATTAAGCTTAACGAGCCGCTGTTTGCCGGACATATTTGAGGCGGCTTCCCACTTATTAGCGCCGGCACGGCGCTAACTCTCCGCTCGTAACGTCGCGCGTGTTTGCTCGCTACATACTGACGAAGAACCGACTAAAGACGACAACGACGACGACGACGACGACGACGACGACGACGACGACGACAAGGAGGAGGATGAGGAGATGAAGCAGGAGAAGGTGGTGGCGGAGGACGACAAACAGCTTCCTCTACCCGCTTGTTTATGCTACCCGGACGCAGCGTAGATTGCCGTGATTTGCATGCATGTAATATTTGGATACCTTCCACGCTCTATTCAATGTCACACCGCGAAATTGGTATCATTGTTAATTTCCTGAGAACCGCTGGCTGATCATTCCGTGGTAGACAGCCTGTCTGACACACACGGCCGCCGTGGTGCACGCGAATTAAAGTGGCGACAGGGTAATTACGCAGACACCGGCGACTTCGTAAGATTTCCAGAACGTACTCGCGGTTGGAAGTCTTTTGTGCGGGATTTCCGTCAGCGGGCGGGGCTAAGAGGAACTCTCGGAATGAAACCGCCTGAAATGCAAGAAAATTGTTTTTACACCTCGTCCGGAGAACGGTGAATTTAAGATCGCGCGGTCCGCGCGGCGGGCTTCGCAGTTTTCGGTAAAAATATCAACGAAAGTTTCGAAGTGCCTGCACTTCTCGTATTTCAACGGGAATACGCGCATTGTCCTTAGGCGGCAACAACGAAACTTCTTAAATCGTGCAATTAAACGATCGTTTTCAAGTTTACAGAGTTTCCCCTTCATTTGTTGCTTAGATTTTGCACCGTTTATACGCGCAGCGTGCTTTTCTCTCGCACTTGCTTCGAAATCTTGAACGTAGACATTTGATTGTCTTTCTCGCTGTGCGATTCATGGAGAAAGTTATGTATAAGTGAAACTTGCAAGTCCCTGGAAAAGGTGTATATTTTCGACATTCGATGCATATTGTAAACAAAAAAACAGACCGATGCATTATTTGCAAGTAAAAGTTAGTGCGTCAAATCCTTTGCACTTGAAGTCGATATTTTCGTGAAATTGAATTTTGTTACTCATGAAGCAATTACCCTTTCAACAGTTCTTTTTTCTTAATTTAGTTTATTTAATGTAGCATCTGTTTATAATAGCAATTAGCGATCACTTGTAGGATAACAGTTATAAGGCTGCACGTAGTGTAATATATACAATAGTTTCGCATGAAATTTTTACATTATTTTCTTAATCTAGGCTTCTTAAGTTACTATATAATTTCGCGAAACAATTTAGTTTCCCTTAAGTATGACATAACTTCTGCTGTTCAACTGTTCTTTAGATACAAACAAATTTGATTAATATAAATTATTTTTATTATTTATAATAGAGTCTTGGAGTCGCGACTTGAGTACAAAGGGTTAAAAAGTTCAGTCAATACACACAAATTTTAGAAAGGATATGATACACAGGATATGGATACACAGGCCGAAATTAAAATGAATAGAATAAAGAGAGATTAAATTTGAAGATTGTTAAAACCATAATTATTAAATTATTAAACCATAATTTAATTAAAAGTCTACAGTTTTTAGAAAGAGGTTTCGGATCTGCAGATTAACCACGATTCATTTGTTAACAGTACCTCGTCGGCATTAAAAAGTATCCCTTGTTTCTGTTTTCAGGGTCTCTTTCGCTCTCGTGCACGAAATAGAGGGAAGAGATCCGTGTATGCGTAACTATACTCGGCAAACAGCCGTCATTTGCATATGCGGCCCTTTAGCTTCTGCTTAATTAGGAAAACGCGATGCGTGCTTCTAGCGGCGCAGCATTTCTGCCGGCTTTTGCACTCAGGAATCCTGATAAATTACTCGATCCGCTCATCTTTGAATGCAAAAATTCGGTATTGTCTCGTTCAAGAATTAAAATTCGCTGAAATTGTTTCATAGCGAAACCGCTGTACCCATCGAACGAATTCTCGTTCGTTAATCGTACAATGAGACCACCGGCAATAAATGTCTGTATATATTCAATTTTGGATGAAAGATTTTAGTGAACAGGTTCGACCAATAAATTTGACCACCTTGAATATCTTCGTTATTTGTGAAGATGTAGAGAAACTTTAAGTAATAATTTGTTTTATAAGTGGAGGGATTCGGGAGATTTCAAAGTCATCTCAATTTTCTTAAACGGCACAGTACGCTTTTCTGTTCCTGCAAAAATGATGGCTGTTTAGACGATTTCACGATCAGATCTTTCAGTAACGAATATCGGAAGTAAAAACACAGACCCTGTATAATTGAATTATATAGGCATTTTTCAATGATCGATTAATATCGTAATCCTGTACGCAGAACTGAAGCCAAATAAAACACGTTAATTCGTTCAAAATAAATGCGACCGCGACGTATCCGCATTATTCTACATATATTATATCGTTTTATTAATTGCAGTATAATAAAAGTATAGTGAAATACGAGTCGAATGATTCAGAATGTATGTACATGTCGTTTATACCGACGTAATTTTTCCGTTTTTAAAGAGCACCCTCGATTCGAATGGTGGCTGGCATGTGGTGGTTCTTCACCTTGATCATGGTTTCTTCGTACACTGCCAACTTGGCTGCCTTCCTTACAGTAGACAAGATGGAAACTCCTATCAAAGGTGTCGAAGATTTGGCGAAGCAAACAAAAATAAAGTACGGAGCTGTTGAAGGTGGATCCACGTCTACTTTCTTCAGGGTATGAGTTTATTGTTTATTCAGTTGATCAATATTCAGGACTTCGGATCGCGAAACGCAGAAACACGATACTGAACAAAGATTATTCCACTTGTTCTATTTTATAATACGAGATCTCCCATGTCTCCAACAATTTTTGCATTTTTTTCTGAATAATAATTGGACCGACTAAAAAGTCTTTGTGTATCATCTAAACAATATTTTCCAGCAATACCGTTCACCTTAAAATGATAACGTACGTCAAATTGACTCATGACACCGGTGTTGATGTACAGTTACTCATAAAATTGAGCGTGTACTTAATAAGACGCAATAGCTTTTTCAAAACTGGACGAAGTGACTTGAACTTTTTTAGATGATAGCTTTTTTCTTAAATTTTGCTGTTATTTGATATTACAACAACAACAAAATTAAAAAACTCTCGTTTCTAACTTTTTTATGTGAGCCTATAACGGAAATTTGAAAAATGCCTCAGATCTCAGTAACTTATATGCACATCTCAGTAGCTTTTTTTTGTAATATCAAATAACAGCAAAATTTAAGAAAAAACTGTCATTTAAAAAAATTCAAGTCACTTAGTTCAGTTTTAAAAAAGTTATTGCGTCTTATTAAGTGTACGCTCAATTTTGTGAGTAATTATACGTCATAATGACTCCGTATCACTTGATATCACTACTCATAACTTGAC